GCTGTTTATTTTGATAGTTTCGGCAATCTTCGACCACCAAAAGAATTGGTGCGATATTTGAATGTAGCGCAAATCGAATATAACTGCACGTCTTATCAACGTTACGATCAAAGTAACTGTGGACAACTCTGTCTACAGTTTTTACAGACGGTTGACGATCAATGTAAGAATTGATATTGCACTCTTTCACTCAATATTCATTCAAACATGTCACTGACATTTACGCTCACCGGTAAGAGTAGTGTTCTCACAGCCTGCTACTTTCCAGCCGTAGATTTGAGTGATGGCGACTATGAGCTCGGTCTGACGGACTTTGAAACCTACCATACGATATCTAATGTAAATTCGTTAAATAATAAGTTTTACTTTGACGAAGATGACAAAGAAATTGTCATTCCCGAAGGATCGTATGAAATACATGACATAGACAAGTATCTAAAACATGCAATTCTACAATTTTATTCTAATAATGTTGCGAAAGAGAAAACGCTTCGCAAAGAGGATGAACAGTACCGATTGATTATTCATGCTAATAATAATACAATGAAGAGTGAGATCAAATGTGCTTATCGAGTAAATTTCACCAATATTGGATTGTTGTTGGGATTTTCATCGAATCGCATGCTGGAGCCGCAACAGTGGCACGAATCAGACGTATCGATAAATATCATGAACGTAAATATCATTCGTATTGAATGCAATGTGACCGCGGGCGCATACAGCAACGATAAGTCCATGCACACGATACATGAATTTTCACCGAGCGTGTCACCAGGATATAAGATATCGGAAAGACCGACACAGATCATTTACCTTCCGATCATCGTACGGAGCATTACAGATCTAACGATTCGCGTTGTGGATCAAGACGGACGATTGCTCAATTTTCGCGGAGAGGAGATCACCGTTAGATTGCATATACGGAGACGACAACGATAAAGTGATATGCTTGTTTTGAACGAGCAGGTGAAACAAACTAGAGATATTTTTACCAGAGGGACGGCAGCGATCAAAAACATTCGATCGTCTAGTAGAAAGAAACTCACTGCATCAAACGTTAAGTTTTTACAATCCTTGGGCTTTATCGTACGAAGTATCTGAGATGGCTGACATCTTGAATATTGGAAGAGAGCCAATCTTTGACGATCGCATCATCAGGATTGAAACTCGCACATACAATCCATACGTCAACACCACGTTTGGACATAGCGATGAGATAAGGATACCCATACAGCAGCAAGATTTATACACGCTACCGTGTGAAAGCTTTCTCAACATCGAAGGAAGATTGACGTCAAAAGAAGAAAAATCAGATCAGCAGCCAACGCTTGGAATTAATTGCGTGTCGTTCATGTTTGATGAAATTCGATATGAACTCAATGGTACTGAGATCGATCGTAATAGAAACGTTGGAATGACTAGTCTTATGAAGGGCTATGCATCGTATTCAGGTGACTTCGCACGTTATATGGAGAATGCCGGATTTCCACATCCGATGTTTGATGAGACCGTGAAAAGACTAATAACACGTGATGGATACTTTAATTTTTACATACCGTTGGGCATGTTGTTTGGCTTTTGCGAGGATTACAAACATGTAGTGATTAACGCGCGTCACGAATTGATTTTGATACGAGCGCGCAACGACAACAATTGCATTGTGGGAGATCCGGCGACAGAGCCGAAACTTGAATTGTTTAAGATACAGTGGCGTATGCCTCACGTTACGTTGAACGAAGTCAATAAACTATCCATGCTGCGTACTTTGGAAAGCGGACGATATCTGAGTATGAGTTTTCGTTCATGGGATCTGTACGAGTATCCTCTATTGCCGAGCACGACGAAGCACTCGTGGGCTATCAAAACGGCTACTCAGCTCGAGAAGCCGCGATACGTCATCTTTGCTCTGCAGACTAATAGAAAAAATAACATGGCGACACATAAAACTTACTTCGACAATTGTAAATTAACCAACGTGAAACTCTATCTGAACTCTGAATTTTTTCCATACGATGATCTGAATCTGGACTTCGACAAACGTAGAACCGCTATTTTGTATGATATGTTTGTACGTTTCCGTGCATCTTACTATCAAATTTCAAAAGAAAATAGTGAAACGTTATTCAAGACAGATTCTTTTAGGAATTTCTTTCCTCTAGTAATCATTGACTGCTCGCGACAAAACGAGTCCGTCAAGAGTGGCACCGTGGATGTGCGATTAGAATTTGAATTCAAAGAAAATGTACCAGCGAATACTACTGCCTATTGTCTTATCATACATGACCGCGTGATCGAATACAGTCCATTGTCCAACGTAGTACGCAAGATTACGTAAATTATCATCACCAAAAGAAAAATAACCTCTCCCCTCTTTTCAATATAATGGATAAAAAGCCAAAATTTTTTCCATTCGAGCACAGTCTCGAAAAGTCATTCACCATGACTATACCAACGTTCGTGGATCTACAAGGATTTATCGTTGGAAAGAAATTTATCGTGAAGGAAGTGGCGGTGTTGAGAAAAGGAGCTATTCTCTCTCATTATATTTTTACATGTCCCATGTCATGGAATTTCTTGACAAAATCCGAAAAGTATTGCGCTTCCTGGCTGAGTGCTTATCACCATGGATTGCAATGGGAAGATGGGATGATACCATACAACATGGTGAAACGCCTGATTACGATGGCTGTAATTGGTGCGGAAGAGAATGACGACAATAAGTCTCTTGTATACGTTAAAGGACGTGAAAAACGTCAATGGCTTGCTGATATACTCGACAGCGACGACTTGACCATTGAGACCCTCGATGCTGATTACGAAGATATAGATTCTTTACGAAATCTGAATATTACTAATACCGTGCGATGTGGAAATCATGTTAAGAATTGTGCGTTACAGAATGTATTTAAAATATGCAATTGGTGGTCGCAATGCCAAAAAAGAAATGTGTCAAGTTTAAAATAAAATACAAGATTTTTTTTTAAATATATAATATGTTTTAATTTCTTTCCCTTCCTTTCCTTGTAGTTAAGAAAATTAGTTAATAATGATGGTTTAGTAATATGATTCAATTATTACTCAGTCTTCAAAATGATTCATTGCCATCATTCCTTCCTATTATCTTTTTTCTCACTCCAAGTTAGTAGATAAGGAAGCACATTTTTTTATATTACATCAATAAAAATATTATCATAATTTGTTGCTAAGTTACATCAAATAAAAATCATAAATCTATTTAATAAAAATTGTGTGCGAAAGAAGAAAAGAGAACGTAAGAGAGAATACAATGGGAGGAAGAGAGAGAGCGTGAATATGATGGTAAGTATAGGGTCGCAACGGGTGGAGCAGAGAGAACTGCATTCTACAACGGGTGAGAGAGAGCGCAAATAATAGGACCGCAACGGGTGGGTGTGGGAAAAAGAAGATAATAGATTGGAGAAAGAAGGAACAAACCCCCTTCCCCGGTGACGCGCTTGCCTCTCCCCCCCCATGGTCATCCCTCCCTGTGACGTCATCCTAACGTCTGTGTATACTCCCCCCCTCTCTGACTCCTCTACACACCCACACACACACACACACACACACATACCCCGCATATACGTATACGCACTAACACATAGTGGATTAGAACCGGCCTAGCTATTCTACTAT